ATATATTATTATTTGGCACTAATGATAATATTATTTTTGAGATTAAGTCATTTTTGAAAACAAAGTTTGAAATGAAGGACATGGGGGTGGCAAAATTAATTCTTGGGCTAAAGTTGTCTTGATCAACCGAAGACATTTCTATTTCTCAATCACATTATATTGGAAAATTAATAGAGAAATTTGGATTTAAAAATAGTAGAATTGCTAAAACACCCTATGATCCTTCTATAGCTTTGTATAAAAATGAAAGTGGTGTTCCTGTGTCTCAATTAAAATATTGTCAGATGATTGGTAGCTTGGGTTACTTAGCTAATTGTAATAGACCTAATATTGCATTTTTAGTGTCTAAACTTAGTCGGTACACTTGTTGTCCAAACAGAACTCATTGGGAGGCCTTAGATAGAGTATTTAGATATTTGAAAGGAAATTTTTTGTGGGTTTCCATTATGGTAAGTATCCTCCTATTCTTGAAGGATATAGTGATGCAAGCTGGATAGCTAAGAACTCCGGGAGTTATGGGTATACCGGCTATGTGTTTACGTATGGTGGTGGGGTTGTTGCCTTGAAGTCCACTAAACAAACTGTATTTTCCCGGTCTACTTTTGAGGCCGAATTATGTGCGTTGGATACTACAGTACATATGGCTGAATGGTTTATGGGACTAATGTCGGAGTTGCATATATTCAGCAAGCCAATTCCACATATTTATTTGCATTGTGATAGTATGAGTACAATTGCAAAAACTAGGAGTACCAAGTATAATCAAAAGACTAGGAGACATATTCAAGTTAGATTAAAAACTATAAGGAAGTTTGTGTCTCAAGGGTGTTTGTTGTTGATTTTGTTGGATCCAAAGATAATACAGCAGACCCGTTAACAAATGGACTTGATTTAAATCAAGTGATAAAATCGAGGTTAGGAATAAGACTGAAACCCAATAACTATTCATCTACGGTAGCAACCCAACCTATCTAAGTGGAGATCCCATAAAGTAGGTTCAATGTGGTATAAACAAACCGTAGAGTGAATTGTGCATCTCATTGAAATAATTTTATGAGTTCTATTCCTTGATAAGCCTTAGAGATGCTGAAGTTGCTAAGTTAGTAAGAGTTTAAGACTCTGAATGGGATCAAGCTTTAATAGGAGAGTGTTAGCAATGCACTCTTGGAGATGCCCAACTATGAGAATGTTATTGTGTGGCCTCAATAAGAGAATGTAGGTTTATTCTCGATGACATTCTTGAGACAGGATCGGACGCACGGCCGTAAAGTGTCACCCCTATAGATCGTTGCCATTGCCGTTAGTGTGTAGCTTTTATCCTACGCCAACACAACCAAGTAGCTCGGGATATCTCATTGATTCTGCACTTCTCCAGTTGATACTCCTATGGAGCTCAATGTTAAACTTCGAAAAGATGAAGGAGATCTTTTTCCTGACCCGACAGTATATCGTAGTCTTGTGGGCAAATTAGTATATCTTATGATTACTTGTCCCGATCTCTCGTTTGCTGTTCAGCAAGTAAGTCAATTTCTTCAGAATCCCCTTCATCTCCATATGGCTGCAGTCTGACGTATTATTCGTTATATCCTTGGAACTGTTACCAAGGGGCTTTACTTTCCAACTGGTGCTTCTCTTGAACTATCTGGCTATAGTGATGCTGATTGGGCTGGCTGTGTTGACACCCGTCGCTCCACCACAGGGTGGTGTATGTTTGTAGGGACTGCTCTCGTTTCTTGGAAAAGCAAGAAGCAGGATCGGGTTTCTAAATCATCTACGGAGTCAGAATATCGTGCTATGTCTCTTGCCTGTTCAGAGATCATATGGCTACGAGGCTTACTAACGGAGCTTGGGTTTTCAGTTTTCACCTACTGAGCCTACTCCATTGCATGTTGATAACACTAGTGCTATTCACATTATTGCTAATCCAGTTTACCACGAGCGTACAAAACACATTGAAGTAGACTGTCATTTTATTCGCGAAGCATTTGAATATAGAGTTATCTCCTTGCCCCATGTATCCACCAATCTTCAAGTGCCTGATATCTTCACGAAGGCTCTTCCTTGGCAACGGCATCAGTTCCTCGGAGGCAAATTGATGCTTGTTGATCAACCAACATCAATTTGAGAGGGGATGTCAATCAGAGAATCAATAGCAAAATATCTTTGTTATCTCATTGAATCTTTGTAATTATAGGAAGATTTTATTAGGCTTTAAGTGCAGGGATATCTTGCATCAATTGTTAGAATCTCCTGATTTGTTTCTTTGTACATATATTTATTTCTTGCCTATATAAATGTGATATACAACTGAGGAAGGCATCTCAGTTCTTACAGCCATTCTAGTTCTTAGTTCATTCCAGTTTTATTTGTTTCTGGTAATATTTGTGACATGGACGAGTTGAGAAGCATTCAAGATTGATTTGAGAGCTTTGTAGGTCACTGCGAGGTTCAAGATGAAGATTTGATGACAAAAGAGCTCTACGATTAACTACGGGATCAAAACAAGACGAAAAGAGCTTGAAAACGACGATCATGATGACTTTCTGTCAATCGTTCAAGTATATCTCTTTGTAGAAATATCTAATGAACACGATTCAAGTTGCATATGAAAACCAACTTCAAGGGCTACAAATCATATGCAGACATCATTCCGAGAATTTGAGAGGAAGAAGGTGAAAACAGACGATGAAGTCAGATGATCTCTGTTGCGATTTCAGAATGCGACCTTCCACCGTTTTGATCATATCTTTTGATTGGATTATTCAAATCCCATTCTGCAAGTTGGAGTGGATAGTGGACTTCGTTATCTACAACCTTTGTGAAGGAAGCGTTGTCAAATTCGGAAGTTAAGTAGGCATGATCTTGCCCTCAAAGTTAGGCACGATCATGCATGAAGAGAAAAGCATCACGGAGCTACTGCCCAGAACATGCGTTTTGCTCCGGAGACACGATTGAAGGGACGATCGTGCCTGGCACCGTGCCTGCCTCCGAAAAATCCTATTTTCGCCCGAATTACCCTGTTTTTGTCCCAGTTCAGCCCAAACTCATCTATTTTCTATAAATAAGGCCACCATACCCCTTTTTGATGGTTACGAACATTACGGAGAGGCCTAGGATGAATTTTATCTGCGTTTTTACGTTGTTTATTTCAAGAACCTGGGATTCATTGTGTTGGGATAGTGGGCCGAGCCCAACAATATGGGCCCACTATACTCGGGTTAGGGCCTAAGCAGACCCGAGGCACGGTCCAGCTAAAGAAGATGGGTCTTCGGGTTGTTTATTTGACTGTTGGGCCGGCTGGCCCAAGGAAAGGGTTAGTTGTTTAACTGGGCCAAGCCCATTAACTTGTAAGGCTTAAACCTCTTGTAAGCGCTTATAAATAGCCCCCCCTGTATTGGACACGTCATTTTTACTATATTGAATTGCTGTCGAATTTCCTACTCAACATATTTTCTATCAACATTGGTGCTTTCATTGAGAGCTATTCTCTCAGTTTTTGGTAGAAATCTTCGAGGAAGATGGCAGGAACATCAAGGCAAGAGCGAGTTTCCGTCCATACTGAGCATTCCGAACAGCCCGATGGTCATCGCGTGAGGAGCCAGGTAGTGAGGCCGACGGGAGATCTCCGGAACCATTTGACTAGCTCGGGGGACCTGAGGGGTTCGCTGAACCGCAGTCGTGACAGACGATCCATTCATGATCGGATTGGAGGTCGCCGTCGTCGTGCCCCGCGCGCGAACTGACTCGATGTTGGGGTGCAAGCGCTACAAGAAGCCACACGCGCCATTGAGGCATTGGCCCAGAATTTCCAAGGTATGATGTCGCGGGGAGCGAATCGGGAAAATCGGGGAGACACCACCCCTGAGGACGTCGAGACTTCTTCTGGGAGATACGAAGGGCGACATACCAGTTCAAACGGATGGCGAAGGGAATCCTTGCCCCGGAAGGAGCATGTGTGTCACGCCCCAGACCGCATCTAAGCGCGTGTACAACTGCCGTGTGACCAAATGACGTCGATCGCAAGTCAACGTAACTTAGTCACACAAGGCGTCCATGAACAATAATCCAAACATACATAACATCATCAAAATTTAGATTGAATGAATAGCAGAAATATTCAATATTTAATCATGGGCCACACATGGCCAAAACGTGAGCTCGCAGGCCCAAAACAATTGTATTTATTACAAAGTATCCACGAGCATAGTTTATAGTTTAAAACAGTAAAGGAAGCACGAACCACGTCTTCCTTTGGATCACTTCACCGAGCAAGGTGAGAATAGCAAGCTTGAGCTTCAACCTGAAATGGTGGGCCCCCCCAAAGGGGTCAGTACAAGTACTAAGCGCGTAGCAGGCTAAATGTAGAATAACTAACGTTTCAAGTATAAGACCCAAACATAGGGTGATACATATACATATAATTCTTCCCCCCAAGTTATGAAATACATATAAGTATATATACACTTGGAAATACCCGACTCGTAGGTCATTGTTTATTTGGGAAAATAGTAGTAGTCAGAGTCCTTGACTTAAATCCCAACCCACCCATATACCTATGAGTGTATAGAACTCCTCCTGGTTCGAATCAATTATCATATGGACACCACTCGGTCCTAAATGATCAAGATGTAATCTATGAGTTTTGAGGATACACGTCCGATCCTTGGGTACTCCACCCGCCATAACCGAGTTTTGAGGGTACACGCCCGACCCTTCGGTACTCCACCCTTTATTACTGAGTTTTGAGGATAACTGCCCGATCCTTGGGTACTCCACCCTATAACCGAATTTTGAGGATAACTGCCCGATCCTTGGGTACTCCACCCTATAACCGAGTTTTGAGGATAACCGCCCGATCCCTAGGTACTCCACCTGATCTATGACTTACCACATATCACACTAGATAGGGTCTATATCATATTATTACTAAAGACTAAACCAAGTCTTAGAATTCAATCAATAGATATCAACCTTGACATTTAAATATCATATTCCATGCCCCCGGAAAATTGGTGAATATCCAGGGGTGAAAGTTATTTGGCCGCAATGACGAATCCAAATGGCATACGTTCTTCTCCTTCTCCACAAAAACCTTCAATCACTCATGTCATCTTCGATATGGACGGCCTTCTTCTTGGTATCTTATTGTTTATACTTTATCTTGGGTTCTTGATCTTAGACACAGAGAAGTTCTACACTGAAGTCCAAGAGATTATACTTGCTAGATACACCAAGACCTTTGATTGGTCACTCAAGGCAAAAATGATGGGTAAGAAGGTTTTAGAAGCAGCTAAGGTATTTGTGGAGGAGACAGGAATTAGTGATTCTCTGACAGCTGAGGATTTTCTTGTTGAAAGAGAAGCTATGCTGCAGAATTTGTTTCCAACCAGTGAACTCATGTCAAGTGCTAGCCGCTTGATTCTGCACCTTCATGAAAAAGGAATACCAATATCTGTTGCAACAGGCTCTCACAAGCGCCACTTTCAATTGAAAACAAAACAACATGATGAACTTTTTTCGTTGATGCATCACATTGTTGTTGGTGATGACCCAGAAGTCAAACAAGGGAAACCTTCTCCTGATATTTTCCTCACAGCAGCTAAAAATTTGAGGATGCACCTGTTGATCTGCATAAAGTTCTTGTTTTTGAGGATGCTCCCTCAGGTGTTCTTGCTGCTAAGAATGCTGGCATGTCAGTGGTAATGGTTCCTGACCCCAGGTTGGATAGCTCTCACCATGAAAATGCAGACCAAGTTCTCGGTTCTTTATTAAATTTTAACCCAGCTGATTGGGGGTTGCCACTATTTGATGAAATATCCAGCTAATCACACCTTTCAACTGAGCATAAATTTTATTCACTTTTTGAAGACTAGCACAAGATTCACTCTCATTATTTTTACCGCCACTAGATTTAATCGGCATTTAATACCAGGCATTTACGAAGGATAACAGTATTGGTCTATTGGAAAATGATAAAATATCGGTATTGTGTATCTTTAGAAAATTATTAGATATTCGATATCGAGAACATAGTTTTTTGTTAAGAAAAAATATAAAGAAATTATCCTAAATAAGACTAAAACATGGTTAAAACTCCAAAATAGGACTTGAAGTTTTAAATTGCCTAAATGGGACTCCAGATTACACTTTTGCCCTTCTGCAATTAAAACCCAACTTCTCGCTTCTCAATTCCGCTGCAGTTCATCGATGGTTCTGCTCCCTTCTGCAATTCGTCGGTGCGATAGAATTCATCGCTGCAGCTCCCCACATCCCTTCCTCCCAAGGACAGCAGCTTTGCCAATGGCTATGGCCACGCACCGCAGCTCCGCCGTCGACCATGGTATCCTCCTCCTCTATTCTTTTTCTTCTTCTTCTTCTTCTTCCTCTTCCTCTTTCTCTTCTTCTTTCTCTAAGGAAGTTAAATAATTAGTGAAAATTTCTGCATATACAATGACACTTTAAAAGGCTACACCACCCCTAATATCATGTATTTTACTCAAGTCTAAAAACTTTTTCGTTTAGGGATGTTTCATCACTTTTGGATTTGAATTTTCTGGTCCTCTGTTTTCTTCTCCTTTCCATTTTTTTGGATTTGAATTTTATTTATTAATTTGGATTTTTGGATTTGAATGGTATTTATTCAGTAAAATGCCACTTGTATAATATGAGAATATCAAAATTATTGGTTATTTGAAAAAATAAATGTCACTTTTGTGGCACTACATTTACCAGGATGACAATCTGAAAATGTCACTTATGTTTCGAAAAAACCATGAAAGTGACATTATTACTCTGGAAATGTCATTTTCTTCTTTAAATTGACACCTTAGCAAATGCCTTTAAATGACATAAAAGTGACAAAGGATCTGCCCTCCAGTGACTTTGTGCAGACCTCCATGAGGAGTGCCACTTTATATGCGAGAATGTCATAAAATGCCTTGAGAATGACATTTTCTTATGGTCATATGACATTTTCATATTGTCATCTTGATAAATATACTGTCACAAACATGAAAGTTCTTTCAAATAACTAATAATTTTGACATTCTCATGTTATAAAAGTGGCATTTTTGCAAATAATCAAAATTAACAAATTAATAAAAAAATCAGGTTTGAATGTTATAGTTGATTAGTAATTTGTTGAAACACAACTCTTAATTTCATGTTTTTATATCCCAATTTAATATAGAATCTTAAAAGTTCCCAAATTAGAAGAAAAAAAAACAGATCAAAAAAGAGGCCCATGAAGAAGAACCAAAAAAAGAAGACGAGGAGGAGAAAGAAGGAAGAGGAAGAAGAAGAAAAAAAAGAGAAAGAGAGGAGGAAGAACCAGAGAAAGAAGATGAGGAGGAGGAAGAAGGAAGAGAAGGAGATTACCTGGGAAATTAAAGAAGAGATGCCCTGCTATGGAACTTTTCCGACGTGAATAGAGGATTGCGGCCATGGAGGTTCTAGCGTGAGTGATGAATCCAGCTATGGAGATTCAATTTTGGCGTCCATGGGAGGAAGGATCGCTGCGTGTCTGGAGCAATAACGATGGAGGTTGTTGTGCGTCACTGTGTGCATCGCTCTTTTAATTAAGGGCAGTTTTGTCTAATTACCTCTTTTTAGTCCTATTTTTGTGAAATAAAACATAGCAGTCCTAGTTTTGCAATTCTACTTTATTTTAATCCTATTTAGGTAAATCTCTCAAAAATATATCATATTCCATGCAATTCCATGTATAATATACTTATATAGGATGTTCGGGGTTAATCCCCCCTTCGAACCGGACCCCAAACCGCATTTTCGGCGAAAACGGAATTCGGTGGCAGCAGCTTAACCGGCACCGGTTATGCCCTATAACCGGCGCCGGTTATTGAGGTTTAGTCCTGTAGATCCGAAAGCCCAACACACGTTTTAGATATTAAGGATGAGGGTCTCGATTCAAAGGTGTATAAAATATAAAACAGTGAATTAAGGATGAACTCAGAAGCTAAACTTGTACTCCCTCCGTCCTTGAAATAAACTTCCAACTTTCCCTTTTTGTCCGTCCCAATTAAAACTTCAATTTTCCCTTTTTGGTAAAGAATTTGTGGTTTACAACATTTCTTACACATTTCTCTTTCATCTGCACAACTCTCCACCACACAATACCCACTATCTTAAACTGTGTGTCAAATCTATTTGGAAGTTTTATTAGGGACGGAGGTAGTATTAAGTAATTCTCAATTACACTGAAATTGTCACGCCCCGGTCTGGCCGGACACGCTAACAACCGCCGCACAATCCGATTAAGGCAACCGCAGTTCACCTTACTCGAACCGTGCAAGGCGTACATGAATACCATTCACACAATTACATCCATAACCAATCATAAGTAAAGCATTTCAAAATATACAGCGGAATACAAATACTTTTTAAAGTCAAAGGCCACATAGGGCGAACATGAGCGCGCAGGCTCCCAAATCATTTATGATTTAAAATAGTTCCATGAGCATTATTTTTTTTTATATCAAAATAGAACTGGAAGAAGCACGAACCACGTCTTCTCTCCATGGATCACCCGAAGCAACGGGAACAGGAAGTAAGCTCTAGCTTCTACCTGAAAAACTGTGAGGTGGCCTCCCCCGTGAAGGGGAGGTCAGTACTTGGAAGCATTTGACAAGTACAATGACAACAATACTGAATATAATCCATGTTTCAAACACAAGACCCTCAACATAGGGTGATATTATATTATGGGCATAACCTATAGCTACCGCATTTCAAACATGTATATCTAAAATATTATAAACACCAATGAGGGTTAGGGTCTTTTGGGTATATTAAATGTGTTGGTGTAACACTAAGCAACATACCCTTGTACATTATGCTTCCATCATTGTACCATATATGTTCTCCTCTTTCCTTCCGTAACTTCCGTTAAATCAAAGTGTTCAACCGTTCGACCCCTTAGCTTCATTCCATTTAGCCGTTTTTGCATTGAAGACCAATTTAAATGGTTGTAGCCTAGGTCTAAATTGCAGTAACGTGACCAATCTTCTCCCTCATTTCCTTGTTGCAGCAGACTAGCAGAGTATGTAAAACATCAAATAAAAACAGTGTTTATTTATTTATTACAAAATAGAAACAATTTTTTATTATTATTACAGAGTATTATGATTATTTGGATTTTCTATGAATGATATATTTTTGTGCGGTTTATTTTGTACGAAGTATATAATGCATATGTATTTTTTTAATCATAATCATTATTTCAAATAATAATACATAATAATAGTCGGCATTATTTCCCACTCATTTCTTTTTGTGTAATTATATTATGTATACTTGCATTAATGTGGTGGACATTTCATTCATTATCTCTCAAATACTTTTTATATTATTCCCCACATAAATGTCATTATTTTTTTTTGTGTAATTATGTATACTTGCATTAATGTGGTGGACATTTCATTCATTATCTCTCAAATACTTTTTTATATTATTCCCCACATAAATGTCATTATTATTTTTTTAATATGCCATTCTAAACTTTTATTCACAAGACAAGTAGTGGACATTTTTTAATATGCCATTCTAATGATTTTTTTTGAAACATGCCATTCTAATGAATTAGATCATCTATAAACATTTTTTCTTAACATGCATTAAGAGTTTAAGTTGTTTTTTCAATCAAGTGATAAGAGCATAAGAAAGTGACAGGGATTCAATCAATAATCTTTAATTTTTATTGTATTGGTAAGAAAGATTGCTATCAGATATTTAGATTATAGCGTGTTTAGTGATCCTCTTTTTTCGGTTATCAAATTTACCAGTCTTTTTTTTCATAAAAAACGTAATATTTGATTTCACACGCTGTGTATAATAATCAAAATAATCAAAGTTGATGTATTTTCCAACGTGATTGACTAAAGTTACTCAAGGTGAGCATTTTTTAGCTATTTTCATATAATTCTTTCTTCATTTTACTAAAATAATAATTTTCTTTTATAAATCAGTATAAATTTTGGCTAAACTAGCCAATTTCAGCGTAAGCAAAATGACTTTATCAATATTCTTTCTAGATTCAAAGACTCGCCCTCAAATCACAACATATATGAATACATACCTTATAAAAGTAAAAACCCTGAAATATGTATTATTTGATAAAAGGGAAAAGTAAGGAAAATGTACTTGTGGTTGTGCCCGTTTTCAGATAATGTCATGTGTTTGACTCTAGATTTTCAAGAGGGTCACACCGTTAAAAACGTCTGAGATAGGCGGTTAACGGGTAATTATGTATAATTACCCGTCACACCGTTTAATTTTTCGGGCACTTTTGAAAATTGGAGTTACTTTTAACCATCTTTCTCAGACGTTTTTAACTGTGTGGCCCTCTTGTGATAACGGAATTCAAACACATGAACCACTTTGATAAAAAGTGAAACACATGACCCTATCGGAAAATGAGTCCAACCACAAGTACTTTTTGGTACTTTTCCCTTAATAAAATAACCTGGACAAATATGGTGAATTTGTGAAAATATAATTTCCGTAGTAAATAAAAAGGAAAAAAGATGTACTGAACGAATAAGAGCGGAGGGTGCAAAAGGGAAGAAAGGAGAGGGACTTTTGCTCCTTGCTTTCTATTTTCTATATCTAGCCAACTCAAGAGATTAAGAAAGGAGAAAGTTTTGCTCCTTGCTCCTTGTTTTCTATCTTTTTTTTTTTTGTGTTTTGATTGGTATTTATAAATAATGTATTTGAAAGTTGGTAATTTTCTATTTTATTTTTGCGGTGGACACTTCTCCATTAGTTGAAAGACTTAAAAC